TGCCCCAATCTTGGAATGACTTTGCTAGAACCTTAAGGCATAAACAAGGAGAACTTACTTTGGTTCAAGTCATAAATTTAATTAGGATCGAAGAGAATCATAGGTCAAGCCAAAAGAAGGAAACCGAAAGGCAAACAATTGTGAACTTAGTTGAGAATGACACCAACAAAATTGGGAAAAACAAAAACAAGTTCACCATAAATAATAAGAAGAATTTCAAACTTAGAAGAACAAATTTTAAATTGAAATCACCCAAAAAAATAAGAACTTCCACAAGACTAAGGATCAAGGGAAAGAGAAGAGGGTTTGCTTCGTTTGTGGAAGAACCAATCATAAGGCTAAGGATTGCTTCTACAAGAAGACTGAGGAGAACAAGTCTAGGTCAAATCATAATGGTCCAAAAGCCCAAGTGAATATGCTGATGGAGCAACAATCTTCTCAAACATATTTTAAGTATGATTCCTTTGTCAATTTTAGTTATGAAAATAAGGATTGGTGGGTAGATTTTGGAGTTAATGTACATGTCGATTTTGATTGTGAATTTTTTAAAACCTATTAGAAATCAGGTGTAGGACGTGTAACTCTAGGAAATAACTCAATGTCGCAAGTGTTTGGAATTGGTGATATAGAACTGATGATGACGTCCAGAAATGTCTTAATTTTGAAGGACATGTGGCATGTACCTGATATTAGAAGAAATTTAATTAGTGGATCATGCTTCGGAAAGCAAGGCTATAAAGTTGTAATGGAATCAAATAAGGTTGTAATAACCAAGAATAATGTATTTATTGGAAAAGGTTTTATTAGTGGAGGATTATTTAAATTAAGTGTTTCTTCTGAGTGCAATAATATTCCAAAAGTTCTTAATGTTGAATCTAGTAATGTTTGGCATGGACAGTTGGGACATGTAAACTTGTTCAAAATTAAGAAAATGATGGATTTGGACCTAGTCCCAAAGTCAAACATGAATCTCAAGCATAAGTGTGAAATTTGTGTACAAGCAAAACAACCCAAGAAACCTTTTAAGTCTGTGGAAAGGAATACCCAAATTTTAGAGCTTATACATAGTGATGTATATGACTCAAATAGATTACCTACTAGAGCCAGTAATAAGTATTTTGTCACATTTTATAGATGATTGTTTGAAGTATTGTTATATTTATTTGATAAAGACCAAGGATGAAGTATTCAGTAAATTCAAGATTTATAAGATAGAAGTGGAAAATCAATTAGAGAAAATGATAAAGAGACTTAGGTCTGATAGATGTGGTGAGTACACTCTTATCGATCTTAGTGTTTTTTGTGAAGAGCATGGTATTACACATGAAGTAACAGCACCCTATTCTCCACAATCAAATGGAGTTGCAGAAAGGAAGAATATGACCTTATTGGACATGGTGAATGCAATGCTTTTGAGTTCTGGATTACCAGAAAATTTGTGGGGGGAAGCAATTTTGACTGCATGTTTTATATTAAATAGAGTAATCATTAAAGACAACACTACTACTCCATATGAAATTTGAAAAAAGAGAACACCAAATCTCCAAGTCTTGAAAGTGTGGGGGTGTTTGGCTAAAGTTGCAATCCCAGAACCTAAGAGAAAGAAGATAGGACCTAAAACCGTGGATACTGTTTTCTTAGGTTATGCTCATAATAGTAGTGCCAATAGATTTCTAGTCATCAACTCTGAAATAGATGAAATTTCGAATAACACTATATTGGAGTCTAGGGATGCAACACATTTTGAAGACATATTTCCTTTCAAGACTAGAATGCAAAAGCAAGTGGTAGATAGATCATGCACTAGTATTGACAAAGCCTCCACAAGTATTAGCCATCAAGTTACAAATGAAGAAGAACCTCTAGCTGAACTTAGAAGGAGTAAGAGACCTAGAATGGAGAAGAAATTTGGTGATGATTTTTATACTTTTCTAATTGAAGGTGATCCAACAACATATAAGGAAGCCATGGTCTCCGTCGATGCTCCATTTTTGAAAGAAGCTATAAATAGTGAAGTTGAGTCTATTTTACAAAACAACACTTGGGAGTTAACGAATTTACCACCCGGTACTACACCAATTGGTTGTATGTGGGTATTTAGGAAGAAACTGAAGCCTGATGGAAGTTTAGACAAGTACAAAGCTAGGCTAGTAGCTAAGGGATTCACTCAAAAGTAAGGAATTGATTATTTTGACACTTACTCTCCTGTGTCTAAGATTACCACAATTAGGATCCTTATAGCATTAACTTCTATACACAATTTAGTAGTTCATCAAATGGATGTTAAAACAACATTTTTGAATGGAGACTTAGATGAAGAAATTTACATGGAGCAGCCCGAAGGATTTATAGTGAAAGACCAAGAACATAAAGTGTGTAAGTTGATTAAATCGTTATATGGACTCAAGCAAGCTCCTAAGCAATGGCATGAGAAGTTTGATAAAGTCATTTTAGAATATGATTTTGAAATTAATGAGCATGAAAAGTGTGTCTACTATAAGGAATGCAATGGACAGTGTGTAATTTTATGTCTTTATGTTGATGATATATTATTATTTGGAACAAGTTTGGAAATTGTGAAAGATGTTAAGTCTTATCTATCAAAGAGATTTGATATGAAAGATCTAGGAGAAGCCAATATTATTTTGGGAATGAAAGTAAAAAGAACACAAGCAGGTTTTATTATAAACCAAGCTAGTTCAATTGAGAAAACTTAAGAAGTTCAATTTTTTCAATTGCAATCATGTCTCGACACCAAATGAACCAAGTGTGTGCTTACTTAAAAATAGTGGTGAACCCATGTGTCAACTCCAGTATTCTCAAATGATTGGGTCTTTGATGTATATAGCAAATAAAACTAGACCTAATATAGCTTATGCAATTGGAAGGCTAAGTAGATAGACTCATAATCCAAGTAAAGAACACTAGAATGCTTTAAGGCGAGTGTTTAAGTATCTAAGTAGAAGGGTACAATGATGCAAATTGGATCACTGATAGCTTCGAAGTGAAATCTACTTAAGGATATGTATTTTTATTGGGAGAAGCAGCTATATCTTGGGGATCTAAGAAACAAACAATAATTTATAGAAGTACAATGGAATCTGAACTCATAGCTCTTGATACTGCATGTATAGAGGCTGAATGCATTAAGAATTTTTTGCTTGATATCCCATTGGTGAGCAAGCCTATACCTGTCATCTCCATACATGGTGATAATAAGGCCGTGATAGATTTAGTGATGCAGACACATACAAATAAGAAATTAAATAGACATATCAATGTTAGATACAAATCTGTGAGAAGTTTGTTAAATAAAGAAGTTGTTTCTTTGGACTATGTGAAGTCAGAAAAGAACATTGCTGATCAATTGACCAAATGTCTGTCTAGGAATGGAGCCTTAGATTTGTCGAGGGGTGTGCTTAAACCCATAAGGAAGTCACCTAGGGAAGAAACCCAACCTTGTGATTGGAGATCCCATGAAGAAGGTTCAATGGGTAGAAACAATCTATATTGCGTGACTTATATTCCAACACTCTAAAATAGGAGATTTGAAATAAAATCCCTTGCTCATCCCTATGACATTTGTGCTGATAATATGTGATGTTAAGGAAAGACATTGTCTTGAATGAGTTCCAAGGTAGGCAATCTCCCACAGAGTACAGATCACATGTACTCTTGGAAGACTCACCTAAATGAGAGCAGTCGTGAGGCCATGACTGTGAGAATTGGGTTGTTCTCTAAAAACACTCATGAGAATCAAGATTAAGCGCATGGCCATTAATAGCACTAACCCGCGCCAAGTTTTTGATCAATACTATGTGTGTCATATGTTGTAATCTGAATTAGAGGAATCTAGTTCAAGACTTAGTTCACTATGATTCCTTCAGATGAAAACTATGAATACTAAGTGTAGGTTCAAGTTCAAAGACACCTACACCCATTGCATGGTATATAAATTGCCTAAACTTCCGTTTCTTCAATTGTGTCTTTTTTATTCCTCATAGAGTTTTGAATCTTGTGGGGGATTGTTGGTTATTTTAAATATTTTAATAATATTTTATTTTAAAGATTAAAAACTTATTATTATTTTATTTTATTTATTTATAATATTTAAGAGCTGTGTTTTATTTGAAGAGTCATATTCCTTTTAAAAGGGTATGAGAAGTTCTTTAAATAAGAAACCTCAGACAGAAAACAAAATACACTAAACTTTTCTGTCTCCCTCAATTCCCACATCTATCTTAGTCAATTTACATTCCTACTTCATAATTCTTGAGCAATTGATCACTACTTGTCAATTTCGTCTGCCGTTGGCGTGCATATCATATCAGACATCCTGCGAGGCTTTGGGTTGTATCTTGGAGTTGTAGGCATTGTCCTAATCTGCACGTAGGGAGGCGTCTACGGCTTTAGGGCAGCGACATCGCACCTCTCTTTGGTTCACAAGCCAGATATTCTTATTCATTTTCTCCTAATTTAATTTTCATAAGTCTGATAGTAATTATACATTTGATTTGAAATATTTGATCATATAAATAATTGGTATATTTCTGCAATATATTTCACAAATTCTTCAAAAGAAGAGATGCTTAATATAAGAAATTAAAAAACGGTGCCCCTATGTCAAAACGCCTCATAAAACATTTCTAAATTAGGCTGCAATTACTTACGGGCTCAAACCTTCCAGGACCTGAACAAGTCAACATAGAACCAAAATAATTTATAACAAAACGAAGACGAAAAGGAGAATTGGAAAAGAAAAAAAGTTTCGTGATTATTTTGGGGAAAGAATCATTATGTCCAAATCTTATCAATGTCATCTGATGGAGAAAATCTAATTCATCACGAGAGATTACATTCCTTTGTCTCTACAACGGTTGTCACATGACTAGACACAAGATAATATATCCTCGGTGGTGGGTTATATTCTCTCCGTCTGGGGAGATTAATGGAGTGGTGGACAATTGGACAACAAGAACCTGTTGCTTAGCTATTAGAACTGAAATCCAACAGGTGGTCTGGGACCATAAACGTGATCATGAACTCTTCTTACAAGAAGTGAAATACCTAAGCTCTTTTGTTCTCTAACAACATGACCCCTTGGCTCAAAATCAGTCAACAATTTATACTTTAAATCTACTAAGCATGCCTGTAACTAAGACAGCGAATTCCTCCTACTCCTCGAACGGGTGGACTTTTTTTCTTCTGCATTGCGAGAAGAACCAGGGCTCTCTGATGTATTACAACTGCTGATTTCACCACTGCTTTCTTTGCTTGACCACAGCTTAGAAAATATCTTTTTCGACATGATCATACCTTTCACTTTACCAGATGGAACTTTTTCAAGATTTTTTGTAGCACCGGGGTTCCCATTTCTATCACTGCCAACTCCTCCATTCACTTCGCCTAGCCTAGGAGTGAAAATCTCACATTTTAAAGCCTTGATTTCTTCTGCTGTCGGCACATCATCCCAGTCGTCTTCTGTGTTGGTTGTGGTTGACCTTGAGCTCCCATGAGACCCACCTGGGAGTAAGGCCCAGATGGAGCCTTGCAGATCAGGTATACTGGTGCTGCCACCGGACGCTGAAGCCCTAATCTGTTCAAAGAAGAGTACCTGCGCAACGACTCTTAAGGGTAGCCGCTCATTTTGCACAGCATGCATGCAGGCATCTACTGACAACTTCCTGCAGTCCATTAATTTGCACATTCTCTTCTTCTCACCCTTGCTGATCCCTGGGTGTTCCTGCATCAACACTCAATTTTAGACTTAAAATTATGTTTACAAAATTTCAAGCAATTAATTATTATTGGCAGTTGTGCAGGTCTCATTGGAACAAAGGTACACTGAAGCCTCAATAACCCCAAAAATGAAATGGGGGCAGGAAGGAGTATCATGAACTAACCTTTAGATACATGTCAATGGCACGGTAAAGTCCATCATGAGTTGGTCTTGAGAAGCTTGATACCATTTCAGCAAGATGGACAAACTTTGACGCAGGTAAGTTGGGATCACATGAAATCTCAGTAAGGTAGCTGTCAACCAGCTTGGCCACCTTCACCTTGGAAGTATCTGATAACCTGGGACTTCTAATCTCCTGGAATTCGGTTTCCATTGAAGGATCAGTCTGAGCACTTCGATTGTGTGTCACAAACTCTTCAATTAGGCTTTGCACCATGTCAACTTCATATTTTATTGTTTCATCAGTTGGGGGTTGAATCAAAAGATCAGAAACTGTAGCCTCGTCAAGCTGCTGGCCAATTTTGCGAATTAACTCACATTTTTCGACTTCTCCACATTCTAACAGTCTTGCCGCTTTTAACAATTTAAGTAAGAAACTGCAAGGGACACTGCGTGCAGGGAGTAAGTGGATTACAGTCTCCACCAATGATTTATTCTTTACAACATCGCCCTGAATCATGCCCTTGCTAAAATCTGACAACCTTCTGGTAATATATGCCTTTAACGCTTCCCCTATTACATCACCAGAGATTTTTCCTTTGGTCTTGATTATTGTTATCACCCGCTTGTATAAATCAAGTTGAAGCCCACAGAGGTCTTCCACCCACCAGTCTTTCGGAACCATCTGTTGTTTTGCCACTCCATTCCAGTGTGAATCATTCCCATTAGATGGTAGTTTCTTGTGGTTATACATATACGACCATTCAACCTTGGAAGTATCAATGGTAGCCTTGGAAGCTATGGAATCAAGGCAGTGGCTCACCACCTTAACTTCCTCGGACCATGGTACAAGAGACCTCGTAGTCTGAAGAACAATAATCGAGTCTTTCCAGCTCCGGAAGACGCTAGAGTTTAGGAACACTTCAACCTTGTAGACTAGGTTTCCTTTCTCAATAGTTTCGTACATCTCCAGATACTCTGCTGCGCATCGAGTTGCAACCACATTGTATGCATTGAGAGTGACAGTCATGCCGTAACAGAACTTGGCACATATTTCAAAAGCAGCAGGTCCACCAGGAATATCATGGATGTGGATTTCATCGCTGTTTTCATTTGTGGTTGCAACCAGTTTCTGCAGGCGTGCACTCTTGGACAAAAGAGGAAACTACAGAAGCATCACAGATATATTAGAATGCATCATAAGTAATGTTTTAAAGAGCTAAACAATTCAACTAAGAAATTTTTGGTATCCCGAAACCCCATCAAAGTGTCTAAATCCATTGAAGTTTGGCAATTGTTAAGTAGGTTTGGCAATCAAACAGATGCCATTACTGTGTACCCATCAAGCCATAATGTTAGAAAAATAACAAGCTACTGAACAAACAGGTTGAAGACCAAACAAGCTTCATACCTTATGCAAATAGAACTTCACATCTCCGACATTAACAGCTATGTCAGTTGCCAACTCAGTTGTGACGTACCTGGATCCACAAATTTTCACATAACATGAAGCAGAAATTACATTAGTTATGGTATGCAGAAAGTTCACCCAATATCATGTAAATTTTCTTTTAATTTTAACAGACTGTACCTGCAATAACCTTTTTAAGACCACAATTTTAAGAATTTATATAATCAACTTTCATGGGTTTTACCTTATTAGTGCGGATGCACATCCAATTGACTTGATTTTTAAAACTCATTCACGGAGTAGTTCTACGCATTTAATAAAACTGAAATCATGTTCGAACATTTTCAACCTCAAAACTTTCAATACAGTAATGCCGTTGAATCATAAGATAACACTAAATCTTAGCTCCTCATGCAGCTAAACAGAGAACAAATCTACACGTGAAAACATAACGAGACTAAGAGATAAAACAGGATTATTCAGAAATTCTGGAAGTTTTACCTAATTCAATTTGAGTGAAGGCTATTTTTAGCTATGCTCCTGAAATTCGATTTTGATTCCACTTTAACCTTTAAAACTCAAAAGTCACCACTTCCTCCCCAAAACTCAAAACTTTGAGTTTCATGGAGTAAAGTGGTGACTTCGGAATTTCAGGGGGTAACGTGGGATCAAATCTAGGATCAAAATCAAATTCCATGGGCGTAGCTAAAATAAGCCTAAGGTCAACTACTGTATTATTCACAGTTCTACCAATAATATTATGCCTCCACTAAATGTTTTACATCTAAATTTTCAGTAAAGTACATTGGTAATTTGGTACATATCTCACAAACATTGGCAGAGGGCTAAAAATACCAACCACCGAGTAAATAGCACACGTTCGGTTCATTTTCCAGCAAAAACTAAAGCAAAATAAACCATGTTGCTCAGGTAATAAGATCTGATACTAACCTTATAGTGTCTCCATCGGTCTGAAAGAAATCCGGTTTCGATCCAAGTTTCATGAACTTCATTTTTGGCAAGGAAGAGATCTACTTGTTAGTTTTGTCCCCTCACAATTCTTGAATCCCACTAATCCTGCAAATGTCCGACCACTGCTGCGAATTAAATACCAAAATCCCCCTGAAAACAAAAGGAAACACCCCGAAAGTGGCGATTGAACAACTGAAAACCTTGGATTTAAAGGTAAAAAAGAGAACAGATCTTAGGAAAACTTTGGTGGTGTTGTTCCTTGTATGACCGAATCTTTCCGACAAACCACGGCAAACGAAAGTAGTAAGAGTAGATGTGATGAAGTGATTTTTTTTCAACAAAATGTTCACTTCTCTTAAATGAAAGGAGACCAAAAGGGAAGGGGTTGCTTCCTGAAATGGTTACACATCCCAATGACTACGGAGACATTTGCCATCTCAGGAGACATTTGCCATTACCGACCTTCCCAAAACGTATATAATTCTCAAAAATCCAGAAAAAAATATTTTAAATAAAACAAAAAAACCACTTACTTAAAACTGACACCACCACCCTTTGCCCTTATTTGTTTATGCTTCTCGCACTCTAGATATTTGGCTTCTTATACTTTTTTTAAGAACCCAAAACCCACCACAATCCACATTCCTTCACAAAAAAATGTTCCTTTTTGAAATCAGAACACCTGCTGCAATGTCAAATGGAAAATACAATTTTTTGGTATTAGTTGAATTAAATTAACCACCAGGAAAGTAGACAGAAAGAATCAATCTTTAGGGGTGTTTAAGCATCAGCATCAAATACCAACAAGTGGAATTTTTTTTTAGAGGATGATCAGAATTGGTATTCAGAATATCCCATGTAGTTTACCAAAAAAAGCATTGAAATTCCACCCAAAGCAACTCATGCTGCAGATTTTGTAGTATGGGACCACGTGGTTTTGATGCGTACAATACATCCTGGGGCTGAGGAGAGGTGGGGGTTCATATTTTAGTAATTTCACAATAAACGCAAGAAATCTAAGCACAACCCAAGATTAATTAATTTTGGAATTTGCATAAATTTAAACAAGAAAGCACCGAAAACCCACCTCAAATTAAGATCAACCGGACCAAATCGAGCAAAAAGTTTCAACTTTTAGAAACTGAATGATGGTATTTGGCAAAAGAAGAATTAGAGAGTGTGTGAAGCGGAAGAAGAAAGAGAAGAAGAGAGGTTAAAAACTGAAGTGTGGGAGTAGGAAGTAGTGGGTTGCGGTTGGTAAAGTACAATGAATCAAATATTCAGTGGCAGAAACAAACAAAAACAATGCTTAGAGAGAGACAGGCAAGGCATGAGGCTGCACGATATATGAATATATCCTTTATCAGAAGTGAGAGAGAGAGAGAGAGAGAGAGAGAGAGAGAGAGCAGCAGCAGCTAGCAAAGCTGAAATTAGCCCAGAAAGTAGAAAGAAACCAGGCAAGCAGAAGCGAGAGAAAGAGACCCGCCATAAAAAGATGAGCTGTTGCTTATCTTTGACAGCCACCAGAGCAACAAAACACTTAAAGCCAACCTCAGTCTGTTCCCACCTCAGTCTCTCTTTCTCTCTCTCTCTCTCTCTCTCTCTCTCTCTGGAATCAACACCGCCGCCCCCACCACACATGCACATCATTTTCCGTTCCCGACACTTCCAAATCAAACGGTTAAATATGAAAACATGCAACTTCTTTTTCTTCTTTTCCTATAAACATGCAACTTAACTGTGAAAATGAACTTATAAATCTTCATTACTTGTTAGGTATAGTTTTGTGGTGCATACCATAGTCTAATCGCCTATACTATACCCATTGCAATACGATTAAAATATCAAAGATTGATATAGTAATGGGCTAACTGTTTTTTTTTTTTTGGAAAATTTGAAAGAGATCCAATTTTATAGCTCATCTTTTGAAATATGTCCAATTTTTAGTCCAATTGAACCCATATCAAAAGACCCTTTTTTTTTTCCCTTATAGCATGAAACGAAAGTTAGGTGCAGTTAGGCTAAATTTATACTTTTGCTAATATTAGGCTTATTGTTTTCTATAACTTATATGCTTGTTGTTTATACATATATACATATACATAATATATATCTATATATATATTATTGTTTTCTATAACATATATGCTTGTTGTTTATACATATACGTATACATAATATATATATATAACACGTTATTGAGAGGGGATTAAAGCTAAGCCTCAAAACATAAGTACTGAACTTAATAAACTTGAAAAATTTCACTTACAAATTCACAAATTAGAGGAATAACATTAAATTGTAATGCTAGTTGCAATATGCTAATGTTTTTCAGCTCTCAAACTATGAGGTGGGCAAGAAAATAGGAACCCATACCTATCTCCATTCATGTTCTTTTCTTTTGATAAAAGATAACTTGATTAATTTACATTAAATTCATCTAAACTACAAAGAGCGAGATTCTAAGTGTATTTAATTCGGTACGACTATAAAACCGATTCAAATATTTCCAAAGGATCCGTCACCTCAAATAGGTCCAGCTTTCATTGCCTTCTTCATTCGCTCAATTTGCAAACCTAATTACTCTCTAAAAACACTATGAAGCACATCAAAAGAACTTTCTATATGCCTCACTGCTTTGTCACTGACACCATGTCGTCTTTCTTACTCCCTCATTCTCTCGTAGGCACGCCTCGTCTTCTTCCGTTTAACTTATTTCATTTGTGTAGAATGTAATATTAATTGACATCTAGAAGATCATTCTTCAATTATTATTTTTATCAAAGTTGTTTGTACCATAACACTATGTTTGGACAAGGGAAATAAACGTGAAATTTGGATTAAAGATAGAATTTATAAATTGACATGCACCAATTCTCTTGTTTGAATTCATAAACATAGAAATTTAGAATTTCTGCATGGAAAAAAACTTGGAATTTGGGACCTCCAATTCCCAAGTTTAAATTCCATGTAAATAGATGTCATTTTCCAATTTCTATGATTGAGAGTTTAAGAACAACAAATTCCGGATTCAATTTCATTGTTCTTTTAGGTTACCCAAACAAAAAGATTCACAAATTATATAGAATAAAATTTCATCATTTAAATTTCCGTCATTTTAAAATTCTTTAGTAATCTTAAATTTCTTCATCCAAACCTAGTGTAAGATTTTGTGCATCAATTCAAATGATAATAGATAAGGATAAATTTAAACTTAAAATAAAGATAAATGTTCGTAACCACTTAAGTTATAAACTCATTGCTTTGTAAAAGATGTGAATTTGAACTCACACCCGCAAAAATCAATTTAAGAGTCGAACTCATCTCCTCCAACATATCCTTAGGTCTGACCTACATTTTTGTTTATGTGTATAGTTATCTCATTCTTGATAGATTTTTGGGTTAATTTGCATGTTATCCAGTATCATAATGGATATGATGTTGGGTTTCCACCCATTTGTCTCGGATTCGAAACTACCCTACGTGTATGGTTAGAATTTTATATTAACGTTTGCAATAATTTTCTTCTTCTTCTCTCCCTTTCTTATTGGCAACTTATACACTAAATATGCATGATACCTATACATTAAGTATAATATAAAAAACACTGTAGAATATATTATATTTGTTACTAAAAAAATGTATGCTATATATATGTTCAAGCACAACGCGTGGTAGATCTATAAGGGTAACTTATGGTTTTGTGTTGTGGTAGTTGTGTAGGGTTTTTCTTATTTGCGAATCTGTGCATGCAGATTTATCTTCATATTAAAATATTTGATCACTGAAAAAATGTACCCATCTAATACCTCATTGTATACATTCATTGTACGTGTTTGTTCTGATCAATGAAATTCTCCACCACCATAATGCGGGGCAAGGGATGCTTTTCTTCAATACTTTACTCGACTTTTTTGTTATATTTATAGATTTAAGTACGAGGAGGGTTGCCTTTTGTTTTAGTTGGTTCTGTCTATGAGTTGTTTCGTTCTTCCCTTAGGGGTTTTTGCATGATGCATGCCCTTCTGTCTTGCTTCTCTTTTGTTATTTTCTTATAAAAATTTGCCAAATTTGCCATAGGTGAAAGTTTCCTCCCTTTAGTATCATTTAAAATCTTCTCAAGTACTTTCAAACTTTGTCATTCAAGGCACGTTTTTTCACCTTTAAAACCGAATACATTTTTTTTTTCGAGTTTTACATTTTTTAACGTGGTAAATATGGTCTGAAAACCAACTGCACATGAAAACCACGAGATCCGTTGATGCATTCCGTTGCTAATTTGCTATATAACTTCAGTCAGTCTTGTTTTCTGGAAATATCCAATCTTTTATAATTCCCACACATGCAATGCTCCAATCCACTTCTCCAATGTCACTACAAAATTAACCAAATTTTTATCCAGTCACTAGGGTTATTTTTATCGTATATCATTATATAGTCTCCTCCAAATACACATCCCCATAATAATGCTTTCATAGTGTAATTTTACTATATTAGCATCGAGAATCTAATAACCTGCACGTAATATTTTTTTTAATACCTTTGTATTTGGCACACCTGCAGATTATATATATATTAATATCAGATGTAAAAGAACGTTGCACCCTTAAGATCTATGCAAGATGAGATTGATTCCTGAATAAATGTCTGGACTCTCAACAAATTCTGAAACAAAGTTTGAGTCACAAATCTTTGGTAAGATCTCCTCCATGAGAAATGGTCGGGTTGAGACAAGCATTATTAGGGGTTAGTCAAAAGGGTTACATTATATCATCCCACATTGCAAATTTGCACATCATGTTGTACAAGTCATTGAAAGTTTTTAGGTCCTACAATCTAAACTTAGCTGGCTATATAAAGTTGGACTTGAATCTCAATGGCATTGGAATACCATAGAAATCTTAGGATTGACCACAAGAAGGAGATGGGGAAACATGTAGATGTCAATTGTACTTTGATTGAACTATATATGTGCATTGTGACACATACCAAGTGGTCTTGCAAGCCATTTGAGCTTCTCTGCCCAACATTATCTAATTTATTATTATTATTATTATTATTAAGTGTGTGTGTGTGTGTGTTTTTGCTCAGCACTTCATTTAATTGATGGTAATGCTTACTATCTTATTGATAGTTGTAATATGAGTTTGAATTTTTGCTCAGTACTTCACCTTTAATTGATGGTAATGCTTACTATCTTATTGATTGTTGTAATATGAGTTTGAATTTTTGACATTTATATAGTACATATATTAAATTCAACTCATCTAACGACATTCAATAGGAGTGGTGAGCATCACTATTACATAGTGGTAGGCGTGCAGTAAGAAAGAAAAAGAACAATATATTTTTATTCCTGATAAAATTATTTCCTTCCAGCAGAAGGGAAAGTTCCCTAGTTCAAGGTAATGGACCACTTGAGTAGCAGTAATTAACCCTACTTATGAATCTTGCTGTGTGTTTGTGTGACTGAGATAGTTCAATTTATCTTCATGCAGATGATGGTGACTTTCCATATTCTAAAACCACAAGATAATTTGGCACTAGGGTTTGAGTGGAAATTTCATACGATCCAAAGTAGCTACTTCATTTACGTGATTTGTAGTCCAAAAAAGCAACCAAATGAAAAACTGGTTAAAGCAGAGATGAAGAACTGCATTTTACAACTCATCAGAGAGGCTTAAATTATTTGCAGACAGCATTATGAAGAAGGAGGAACAGCGCTTTATCTGAATTCACGTAATTATGGAAAGGCACATGGCCACAGATCGTTTTATAATTAATGTTAATGGCATCAGAAGACTTAATTATATATATGTTCTTGTAATACTGTGAGGACCATATGGATTCATTATGGTAGCTAATGGTTTCATGACAATATATATAGCTTAATTAGAAAACCTTTTTGACATTCTTTACAAAATTATTATCATTATAGTCAGTGACCTGTTATCTGTAATCCTTATATTTTGATGCTGAAATCTTTTCCAAAGTTCATATATCTTCAATAAATATTTTAAAGCTGTTCCATGTAGCCGTCCTAATTATTTCCTTTTGACTAGCTAGCAACTTAGTTAGCTAGATGTTGATAAACTAAATCATATCTTCCAAGATTAGACAACATACAAATTGCATTTGGAAATTGAAAAGTTAAATTCACTGCCAACTAGTCTGGTGTTGGTAACCCTAAAAAGATCAATTTTAGAATTGGGGAAATTAGGTTCTCGTCCTTCCTTTTGCTACTCTATTAATTAAAATCCTATTCATTTTCAATTTTTGATCAAGGTCCTTAGGTATTAATTGTTAACAATAATATGGGTTTGTTATGAGCTTATGATTCAATGGTTAGATAGAGTGACAAATGTCAATAGATTGTGAGTTGAGTATGTGGCTTAGTTAGTAAGCTACTAAATCTGGTATATAACTAGTGTGTGTAACTATTGTTAAGAACTAGTTAATAAAAACAGTATATTCTTTCTCTCTCTAAATCTCTACTTCTCTCTATCTCTTTCTTTCTTCTTCTGCAAGATACAGTAAGTTCTTCATACTTTACATGGTATCATTCGCCGCAATGCTTCGT